ATATGCGATGCAGTGTCAGTAGGATTAGGTGCGATGGAATTACACTGCAATATAGTGTCAGAGCATTAGATACCGATAGTAATTCCATCGCACCTAATCCTACTGACACTGCATCGCATATCTTGGGGTGATAGAGCATCGGATAGGCCCATCCGATACAAATATCTTGGCAGTGATGTCTCTCACACGTCTCAGATGTCTCACACTTTTAAACCTAATCCCTCAGACTGGGATATACAAATACCTGGCAGAGCAGAACCTCTGAGTCCTTTTTCCTTCATCAATTAATTAATTTTTCTTTTTGATGAAGGTGAGGATTTTCGTGAAGGATCTGTGTGCAAAAGAGATATAAAATTGAATCTTTATTCTTTTCCTGTTTCTGTCAAGTGCATATAACGAATTTGGTTGGTGGCATTGGGTTGACAAATCACAGTGGCAGATTGGACATTCTGGGTTAGATGATAGTGTCGGAATTTCGAAGTTGGCTGGATTGGATGGATGAAGGTATGGCGGATGTCACCAGCTGGCTGACTTCAAAGGACCGATGGCATACGTCACACCTGGGTTTGAAATCTGGTTGGCGTCAGATCAGGGCCAACCTGCGGGGCACGTCACATTGGTGCGAGCCCGGGACACGTCAGTGTTCTTCCTGTAGTGTGATGCTGTGTTCAAGGGGTAGAGACATCCCTTGCTATTAGATTTGAAATCTAGCAAACCGGAGTTTAAATCTGCCAGTGTGGGTTCGAATTGCCTCAGTGTTGCTTTTTGATGCTTGGAAAGTTTGTGTACTCCCTGGTTCGTTTGCTCCAGCTCGCCTTTTGCTCCTCTTGGCCATGACTGTCTTTTTCTCAACATGCAGGCATAAGGTGTGTGACCGTGTGGTGTACCAAGTTTATGTGACACCCACTACGGGCAGGACATTGACGTCTACAGTGTAAGCGTCACCGTGACGTTTACACGTTCGGTGACTGTACATGTGTGTACGTCAAGGCCAACGTCATGGCAGACGTCAGCCCCCCTCCTATAACTCTAGTCCCAATCTGATTTTGTCCATCATTTCAAGCAATACCGTCTTTTTGCCTCAGGGGCGTCTTCATCAAGTTGAATATGCGCTGGAAGCCGTCAAACAAGGATCCGCCTCCGTTGGCCTGAGGAACAAGACTCATGTGCTTTTACTGGCGCTAAAGGTACTCGTTCTCGCTTTCAAACCACCAATTTGAAAGACCCTCTTACTCACAACGGTTGACCTTTTGCTTGCCCCCAGCATTCCACTGGAAAGCTGGCCTCATATCAAAAGAAGCTCATCTGAATTGATGATCACATTGGTATTGCAATCGCTGGCCTGACCAGTGACGCCCGAGGATTGTCGTAAGTCAAATCAGTTCCCAAGCTTCTCCAAGCAAGTGGCTGGATAACCGACAGCGAGGACTGGAAAAGCCAACTGAAGAGAATCTCATGGCGCTCGTGTGTATTTTAGAAAGTTCATGAGACAGCAGTCTATGTCTTCACCCCTGCTCTACAACCGTCCGCTACCTCTGTCCCGAGCCATCACCGCGATCGCTGATAGTCAGTGCCGAGTCATTTGTCCCCGATCCCATCTCACTCATATCCTCAATTTTGATGTACATCATTGATCATAGAGGCTCAAGTCAACACTCAACAATACGGAGAGTGTAAGTGACTGAGGTCAAGGGATTCTTGAGAGTGATGAAAGTCAAGGTGAGTTTTCAGTAGCTGGGTGTACATCAGGATGTACGTCAGCTGTACATGTCATGGCCCAATGACCAGTAAACGTCAGGGTGACGCTTACACTGTAAACGTCAACGTCCTGCCCGTAGTGACAGTGACAGACACTGTGTACGAGTGGTTAAGGTGATACCCTGCTACTGGATTTGAAATCTGGGAGATGGAGGTTGGAAACTCCCAGTGCAGCGTCGAACCGCATTCGTGTTCCTTTTTGCTGACGCTTAGAAGCAAAAGTTTGCAACACCAAAGGCCGTGTCGCAAAGGTTTAGTGCGACAGTAAGGAAAATGGGGAGACACCGCCATACCTGCGACAAACAGTGCGACAGCTTATCGCAACAGGTTTTCAAAAGCCTTCTTGCACGTGACGTGCACGTCGCCTTCGTGGCTCAGCTGGTTAGAGCGCCGGTCTCATATATTCTCTCCACTAAGTTGTAGTAAATATGACCGCATCGAGCGGGTCATCCGGAGATCGCCAGTTCGATCCTGGCCGAGGGCAAATCTCTTTTCCCTTTTTTTTTTTCTTCCTTCTCCCTTAACTTTATTGTTGTCCTGCTGCTGCTGCATTACACCCTTTTCAATGGTGTAAGTTGACGGTCATAAGTAATATATATATATAAAGCCTAAAAGAATTCGTGCAAAGTGGTGATGATGTGATGAAAAAGAATCTGGATTGGAAACTTGGTAGGCGTGCATTGACAAGTTACCTAGGGTAGAGCTTCAAAAAAGAGATGGTTATGTGTAGTCAGTCAGTTAGTCACTTGGCAGGATGCACATTGTACAAGGATGTGGAAAGGGGCGCGGATATGTATGATGGACACACCAATCGAACCTAGCCAATGGAAAATAGTTATACCTGATTGTCTCATTAGCGCATAAAAGCCCATCCTGTACCCGATCCTACAGTCTGATTCCTCCCAACGGTTTGTTACCATAACCAAGCAGTTACATTCTGAAAAACCGGGGCATGATAATGAAGAGAGCAGACATTTTTGGTGTGTATTTAGATCATTGATACAAAAAAAATAAAAATAATGATAGATAGATGTAGATATAACGGAATAGTCGTCGAGGTAAAGGAAATCAACCGAAATATAAATAGAAAAAAAAAGGAAGAGGATGTGAGAGAAAAAATACAATAGGAAAAGATATCGACAGAACCCTTTCCTTGACCTCACAAAAAACCAAAAACCAAAATACCGAAATAAAGATCGATTACAGTTACAGTAGATACAGCATAGATGGATAAAAAGAAAAAAAGAAACAATCTTGTAAAAGGATGCGACCTGGGTTGAGAGGGGATTTTTATTTTATTTTTTTGCTTATTTGTTTGTATCACTTACGATTTTTCGTATAGGTAGTTTTAAAAAATCGTACAACAAGTTACACGAGTAGTTTCACTACTACAACAATCAGATTTCGTTCTTCGACCGTTTTTAGACGCTATAGGTTCATGAAGACAAGTCCGAGATAATGAAGAAAGATCAGTCTGAGTCTAAGTCTAAGAGAGCGAGAGAAATGACGAACATCGAGGTTCTGAGTCAATGGATTTTACGACTAAATGCATGATCGTTGGTGATCCCTTTGCAAGTCTTAAGGCTACAATCATAGTAGAATTTAAAAAAAAAAAAAGGGTTCCGAGAACCCAAAAGATCCACAATAAAGTCAGCAGAGATACTTGAAGGATCTGAAACTCATAGTTATGAAATGTGATATTCTTCAATTAGGTCGATCATTTCGCTTGGTTTTGAAAGTATATACGGAAGTATATGAATTGGTCTTTAAAGATTTTCTGTCTCATTCAGAAAAACTCCTGAATATAAAGGGGGAAAAAAGAGATTTTTGTTACAGTAAGTAAAAGGGTGAACTGACAATCAAGTGACTCCCAATCATTAAGGAATCGACCTAAGAATAATAATCTAATTTGATCTGCTCTCTTCGGTACTGATTCCTCTTCACTCCAATCTGTGATTTTTTTTTTTTTTAAAAAAAAAAAAAAAAAAAAAAAAAAAAAAAAAGTGGTTTTTTTTTTTTTTTTTTTTTTTTTTTTTTGTAGATTGGATGAGTACAGAGTTTGAAGGGTGGTAACAGATTCCGTAAAGGTGATTTATAAAAACGAAAACGAGTATGTCGGTATCTTAATTGGATAGTTGTACATCTGAACACCATAGCGAAAAAAGGTACGATCACATGATAATGCCCCGAAGCATCTCATTCGATTCCTTGTAAAAAGAGAGAGAAAGGGGAACCCAAGAAAGAAGTCAAAAGGATGACTTACCAGTAGGCCAGTTTGATCGAATACCATCTTTAACTTCTTCAACTTTAGATCGAGTCTGAAAATTGAGTATTAACCTAAGTGAGCTTGGTCTAGAAGAAGAAGCTAATAAGAACTCAAGTACGACTTGATTATCTAAAGGTTTATCTTGTTCTAAAGGTAAAGGTATTATATTAGAATCGATTGAGATAGGTAAAGGAGATCCAACGAGTTTAGCACGATTCTCATCGATCAATTTTAATCTTGTCTCATAATCATCTGTGGGTAATAATGATAAATGATGATGAGTATCAGTTGATGGGTTTGAGATTGGAATGGGACTTCTTTCTCGAATGGTTGTAGCTGTTGAAATAGCTGAGAGTGGTCGATTTGAATTGGAGAAAGTTGGGGGTGCAAGATTAATTTGAGTCATGATCACTTTTTCTTTCTAAGTCGAATGGTTCACTATCACTATCACTATCACTACCACTACTACTACGACTACTTAAATCTGAGTTGACTAGTATGAGTACTACTGCAGTATGACCATGACCGTTTCGATGGATGAATGCGCTACTAGAAAACGAATTAGGATTAGGTTGGGGGAGAAGAAATCGGTTGGGGTACAGAATGAACAAGTGTCAAAAAAGTTTAAAGTTGAGAATTTTTTTGTGTGATGTGAGAATTCAGTGGTTAATCAAATTTTTATATTCAACCTTGTCAGATTGAGACTGGATGTAACCATCACCAAATCATTAATCAGATTGACTCTCAGCTTGAATTATCATCATCATCATCATCATCATCATCATCATCATCTGACACCTTTGGTGCTTCGTGCTATGTATATTAATAAACTACTGCATGTCAACTAAACAAACCCTTCACAATCTCAACCAAACTAAAGACACACTGTTTCGTGACCAATTCTTCATAGGCTTAATTGACTGTACACTACACTACAAGGGATCACCCAAGAAGATATGACTATCACTCAAGTTCATCCTCTTGCACTTATCAATTCACCTCCATTCTCAACCCCGGCCAATAGCCGACCTTGTTCTCATCAACAATCATCTCCCTTTAAACCAAGTAGGCCAAATTCTCAGGTTGGACTTGAGGCCAACAGAGAAGCAGCAGCAAACACAAAGGTATCTTCTTCAGACCCTTTAAATCAATTCCTGGATCAATTCAATGCACGGATCTTAGAACTTGTTGGTCTAGGCTCAGATGAAACTGGTGGTAGTGATAGATTGGTATGAGGGAGGTTGGGAGGCTTTCTGATTGTCCTCCTGCTTCCTCCATTGGCTCCCAAGAGGTATGTATACCAAATTGTCCAAAACACACTAGTGATCTTGTGTTGTAGTGGAAACAAGTGATGGACTTGTTCATGTTTTGTTTTATGGTGTGCATCAGGTGTGAGTCCTCACTAGTCATGCTTTTTGGGCCTAGCTGGTGGATCTTGAAAGATCCTTGAAAGGTTAGCTGAATCTCTGGCAAAGGTTTGGTAAACTCTCTGTGAAAGGTCAGGGGCCCAGCCCAAAAAAGCTATTGAGGAGGAATTGACTCCCAATCTCTTCAGGAGCTTGTTTGCACATAGCTGACCAAAGAGGTTTAGGAAGATCCAGTCGGATTTTTTTAAATCCTGAGAGAAATAATGTTGTAGTGTAGATTGAAAAGACCATGATGACTAAACCTTTTTTTTTTTTTTGTAGTACAAACCTGCTTAAGTCCTATCTAAATCATTCATATCAAAAAAATGTTGGTGTCCAATCGATGTGAATACCGTTATGCAAGTACCCAGACAGCCCTATACAAAGGGTGAAAATTCTCTCATCCGTTTATCTAGTTCCACGCATCCCCACATCTATGTTCTCCTTTTTCTCATCTGCAGAAAACAAGAGAACATGTAAGCACAATCTCAATCACCCAACATTTACACCCTTAACCCCTCCTTAAACACTCCTGCTTCAAACTCTAATCTAAGCTGTGATAAAACTTTGTAAATCTGACTACCCTACAACATAGTTTCATTCCCATTCCAGATCACAAGCACAGATAGCTCACTTCTCCTGAATCTTTCACTTTGTACTGTTCACCCAGGTCAGTGTCCACAACCCTACAGTTCAGGAGTTGTTATAGAGAGGACTCACCTCATCACCCATATCTCACCAGGTACTTTGTACTTTATCCTTTCTCCAGTGTTCCAAGCCAATTGGAAATCTTCAAAAAACTGTAATGGTTTAGAACTGGTATAAACATCTTCATAGGTAAATAATTGTCTCTGTATTGTAAAAGAATTGTAGTTTGTTCAAAATCTTCCAGGTAAGTATAAAATTAGGTTTAACAAATACTTCTGAATCAATACTTACCAAATTTCTTTCTTGAAGCACTGCCAATATATTTGCATCGCATGGAAGCTTGCTATGTAACATAGCATGTCTTCATGCGATACTATGGACCATTTTTCAAGGTCCCTACCTTGGAAAATAGACCTATTGCATCGCATCTTGGCCTGCTATGTGACATAGCATGCCTCTATGCGATGCAATTTTCTTGGCGGTGAAGGCCCCTCTTTTAATGATCAAGGGAAGAGGTTTAACTAGGAATGTTTGAGTATGATGATGTTTTGAGAATGCCCACTTCTATAAGTTTTTTTTTTTTTTTGCTCAAATGAAAGATTCTAATTGTGTTTTCTTGAAAAAAAAGAAAAAAAGAAAAAAAAAAAGCCCAAAACCAATATTTTTGCAATGCTTTAGTGATATCTTATAGGAATACAGATAATCAAAACACTTTTGATCTTTTTCATTCAGAAATCTCTTTTTTTTTTTTTTTTTTTTTTTTT